AAGAAAGTAAAGCCGGTCCATATGACATGATGTACATATTGATTTTTCACGGCGCTGTCATCAGCACAGAATTTATTTCTGTGTACGTTATAAATGTTCCGGCGCGTAAAGAACGACGTGAAAAATTTATGTTGGTCACATGTCGGAGTGGCATCCCGTGCTGATAGCGATAATTCCGCCAATGTACAACTCGGCTCCGATAGATTATTGAATACGTGACTCGAGTCCAACTGCTGTTAATCCGAGGACAATGTTACGATACGACGAAACACTGTATAATCGATTTACGTTCGAGGGAATAATAAGCTTAACGAGATCCGCGCAATGTTTCGATGAATACTTATTGACACATCTCGGGCTGAAGCCTACTTGCTTGCCCGGTATGTGCTGCAGATACTGAAATTTGTCACGTGTAAATCATATCTGTACGATTCAGAAAGCTCCTTATCAGCTTTCTTGATGCAATTGCTACTTCGTGATGTGCTCGGCGAGAGACACCGATTTTTCGGCAAAAATTTCCAGCATTGCACTGTCACTCTCGAAGATAACCAGCATAATTATTCCACCACATCGTCACTCTTCGCGAAATAGCAGGATAAATCTGATTGCTTTTTTCGACGTGGAAAGTTTAGACTTCGTTCTCTCACTCTAACTAACAGCGGATTTCACGTATCGTTATACTTTGTTGCAAATGAATCTGGTTGAGCTTGTTTGCGCGCAAAATATTATTTGGAGAGCGTCGATAAAGCGTTAATGGCGCACAGCGAGGCATACTTATAACAGAAACAAGCATCTCAGAGATACGTTTATTGTCAAAGCGAATTTCCGCGACAAGACCGTTTGGCACAGCAACAGGTTGAAACTTTGTTTAGCGACAGCTTTGTCGAGTGGCTCGGCAAAAATAAACAATCGGGGGTAAATTGATCCACTTAACCATCGAAGATTGCTCATTGGCGCCGGTTAACGAGATTGGAAAATCTCCACCATTTAATAGCGTTTTCTCTTAATCATAAGCACGGTACTAAATATCTACGCGCTATCGACAGGTTTATTCCACGCTTTGGCCTTTTATTTATTTTTCGCCTTTTATTGTATTCAGAAGGAGGGAGAATGCGATCGATGCTGAGTTGTAGCTTTTCATGGACCAAAATCGATCAGTTTTAATTCTGATTTTAATACGAAATGTGTCTTGACTTACACACGTCCTCTGAAGATTGTGAATTCGCGTGTGACATAATTATTCGTGACAGCGCATGTCATCATGAATAGAATCGCTATTGCGTGTCGCTTTGTAATTGGAATGATTCCTAACTAAAAATATTCGTGCTCGCACTTTGGCAAAATTATCGAGCCTTCTTCAACTCGATTTCCGACCCAAATTCTTCCCCCAGTAATAATTAGACGCGACGTTCCATCTCTAATTGGCGGCCTCTAATTGAAAACCGATCCTCCCAAGAATGCATTCGACGTTCCTTCAAAGCTACGAAATTTCCGTTGAAGTTAATCTGCATACCGAATGGTAAGCGGCGGCGGCGGCGATGGTGCAAAAGTTCGCTCGGATGTAACGCACATGATATAAAATTACGGACGCCCAAATATATTAGGTCGGTAGGAAAATAATGTCGGTTTTTAACTTTTAACTTTAAACGCATATATCTCAACTCATAATAAAGTGTATTAATCGAAATAAGAACCATTACAATCAACATATTTTTGCCAACGAGAAACAAGTTTATTTATTCCGGTAACGTAGAATTCCAACGTCCTGGAATCGATACACTCTCGGAAGGTATTTTCAACAGCACTGTGATTGTTGAAGACTTTCTCTTGCAGGAAGTGGTCGAATTGCTTGAAAAGGTGGTAGTCGGTTGGCGAGAGGTCTGACGAATATGGTGGGTGAGCCAGAGTTTCGTAGCCTAATTCATTCAGTTTTTGCAGCGTCGTGTGACGTGTGGTCAGGCATTGTCGTGAAGAAGAATGGGACCTTTTCTGTTGACCAATGCCGGGCGTAGTTTGCGGTGCATTTTGTTAATTTCTTGACAATACTTCTCTGCCGTGATAGTTTCGTCTGGATTCAGGAAATTGTAGTAGATCAGATCGGCTGACGACCATCAAACCGTCACAATCGTCTTCCTTCGTCCATGGTCCAACCACTGTGCTGAGCGCCGCCGGTTGTCGTATAGAATCCATTTTTATCGCATGTCATAATGCGATCAAGGAATAAATCGTTGTTATTGCGCAAAAGAAGCGCAGAGCACACTTTATAACGACGATTCTTTTTTATTTTCATTCAATTCATGCGGCACCCATTTCTCGAGCTTTTTAGATTTTCCAAGTTGCCTGAGGTGGTCCAGAACTGTTGGATGACTTACGTCTAACTTTACAACAAGCTCTCGAATCGTTTTGGGTGGATCTGCCTCGGCCAACCACCTTCAATTCGTCGTTATCAACTGCTGATGGACGTTCACGATCTTCTTCATCTTTAAGGCTTTCATTTCCATTCCGAAATTTTTGAAACCAACGTTACATCATACGTTCGTTTGCAGCTCTCTGGCCGAATGCGCTATTGATGTTACGAGTCGCCTCGGCTGCTTTATGCCCTAGTTTGAACTCATACAAGAATATCGCTCGCAATTGTTTTTTTTTTCTATCATGAATTCTATAAATAATAATGAAGACAAAATAATAGTAAAAATAAAACTAGTAGCAGAGAAATGTAGAGCGAAATCTGCGCTCTAAAATGGTATATACGAGGTCTGTTCAAAAAGTATCGCGAATTTTGTGTTTTTTCAAAAATTATTTATTTATTCATGAATATCTATTTTGTCTCCTTCAAAGTAATCCCCATCAGATATTATACACTTGTGCCAACGTTTTTTCCAATCCTCGAAGCACTTCAAAAAATCATTTTTTGTGATCTTGTTCAGCTCCTCCTTCGATGCCGTCTTTATCTCCTCAATCGTAGCGTAGCGTCGTCCTTTCATGTGCCTCTTCAGTTTCGGGAACAAGAAAAAGTCACAGGGGGCCAGGTCTGGGGAATACGGTGGCTGCGGCATCATTAGTGTGTTGTTTTTGGCCAAAAATTCGCGCACAAGCAACGATGTGTGAGCAGGGGCGTTATCATGGTGCAAAAGCCAATTTTTGCTCTTCCACAAATCCGGGCGTTTCTGGCGGATTGCTTCGCGCAAATTGCGCATAACTTGCAGGTAATATTCCTTATTGACCGTTCTACCCTGTGGCAAGAACTCATGATGCACCACGCCCTTGCAATCGAAGAAAACTGTAAGCAAAACCTTCACATTTGACCGAATTTGGCGCACTTTTTTCGGTCTTGGCTCGTGCGGCAGCTTCCATTGGGACGATTGAGCTTTGGTTTCCACGTCATAACCATAAACCCATGATTCGTCACCAGTTATGA